ACTGCTTCTCTGGGTCAGTTCAAAAGACAAGCGGGAAAGTGTCCTGCCATGGGACTAGTCAAAGAAATAAAGACATTTTCATTGACTGGCCGCACCTATCAAATCTGGTTTTCCAAGATGTGTCAGGTAGTCTTCTGTTACTAAAACAAACACCTGAGATACAATTTACATTAAAAACAAACAAACAAAAAAAAAAAAACGGTTTTACTTTCAAACACCTGAGGCACAAATTACATTAAAAACAAATAAACAAACAGTTTTACTTTCTTCAGCTTAACAACAAAACCCAGGGTCAGGTGGGCCTGTGGCTTTGGGCTTCTGGTACAGCAAAACTACTCAGCTCAGGTCCAGAAAGTAAAAAAAAAGTGATACCTTCTCACCTCCAATAACCAGAAGATCTCCCAGCAGATCCCACCTGCAGGCACCTAGAGCAGTTATTCCTGAGCTGAGGGCGAAGGGATGTCTTTTTTTGTCAAGACTTATGTTTTTTAGAATAAGTATGCATTACTTTTATTTTTAAAAACACGGGGAAGTTTCTGGCTAAGGTATAACAGGAAGGTGGGAAGTCTTTAGATTTCCTTCATCTGCAAAGATAAACCAAACCAGCCGGGCAGTGGTGGCGCAGGTTTTTAATCCCCGCACTCGGGAGGCAGAGGCAGGCGGATCTCTGTGAGTTCGAAGCCAGCCTGGGCTACAGAAACAAGTTCCAGGACAGCAAGGGCTATTCCACAGAGAAACCATGTCTCAAAAAAAAAAAAAAAAAAAAAAAAAAAGAAAGAAAGAAAGAAAAGAAAAAAGGGAAAGATGCAGAAAACAAGGGAGCTGCTCCCTCCATCAATGCACAGGCGCTACAGTTGTCTCCCCAGCGCATGCCTCTTCTTTCCTGAGGACTGACTTGGAATCACTCTCTCCAGTGTTCAGTGATGCCATCCCTAAGCCTGGGTAGACTACATGTGGACTGAGCACCACTCCCCAGGGGCCACGGTCCCAAGACAGATGGGAACAGTGGCAGAAACATCTGCTCTCTGCAGGGTCCCAGCTGAGCAGCATCTAACCTCAAAGCAACAGCTGAAAAATAGCCACAGAGGTTTTTGTAGAAATACCATGTGACCGACTTACACACATACACACACACACACACACACACACACACACACACGAAGCTTTGGCGGTCTCCTCTCTCTCCATCCCCTTTGTTTCAGCTTTGGTTTTCTAGTGGGAGAACTCACTATTACAGCCGGGAACTCACTATTACAGCCGGGAACTCACTGTTACAGCCGGGAACTCACTATTACAGCCGGGAACTCACTGTTACAGCCGGGAACTCACTATTACAGCCGGGAACTCACTATTACAGCCGGGAACTCACTGTTACAGCCGGGAACTCACTGTTACAGCCGGGAACTCACTGTTACAGCCGGGAACTCACTGTTACAGCCGGGAACTCACTATTACAGCCAGGACAACATTAAACCCTGGGTCTGCCTGCCTCTCTACCTTCAAGTGCTGAGATCACAGGCCTTCTGGTTTACTCGAACTCAGAGGTCCACCTGCCTCTGCCTCTCGAGTGCTGGGACTAAAGGCATGCGCCACCATGTCCACTTGCATTTTGGTTTCTTTAGGGTGAAAAACAAAGGCAAACCAAGGCAACGGCACTTGTCTAGAACCAAACGCACTGGGAGAAAGAAGCTGAGGCAGGGATCCTGCCATTAGTTTAAGGCCAGCCTTGGCTACATAAAGAGTACCAAACCAATCAGGGCTACACAGCAAGACCTTGTCTCAAAATACAAAACAAATTTGTTTTCTCCCAGGTTCTCAGGCTTGTTAATGAAGACCTCCCAGAAATGTTCTGGGTAGCAGTGTAGACACAGGTAAGAGGTGACTATGGTAAGCCTGTGGACAACCCCAAAGGTACAGACGATACGTGGAGCAATGTCCAAAGCCTGTGCTGACAGGCAGTGGAGCCACACAGCTGGGCTACTGTGCCCCCCATCTCCCTGCCTCAAGGCCCCAGAACCCCAGAAAGTTCCTTGGCTTTAAAAGAGTCATACTAACTGTTTCAGTATCCTGCTATGGGATGTTCTGTATGGCAAATGTGTTGCTAATTAGTCAATAAATAAAACACTGATTGGCCATTGGCTAGGCAGGAAGTGTAGGCGGGACAAGGAGGAGAATAAAGCTGGGAAGTGGAAGGCTGAGTCAGAGAGACACTGCCAGCCGCCACGATGACAAACAGCATGTGAAGATGCCGGTAAGCCACGAGCCATGTGGCAAGGTATAGATTAATGGAAATGGATTAATTTAAGCTGTAAGAACAGTTAGCAAGAAGCCTGCCACGGCCATACAGTTTGTAACCAATATAAGTCTCTGTGTTTACTTGGTCGGGTCTGAGTGGCTGTGGGACTGGCAGGTGAGAGAGATTTATCCTGACTGTGGGCCAGGCAGGAAAACTTTAGCTACAGTATCCCTTTAGTTTTGTTTGGTGATTTACATTGTTGTTGTGTGTTTTCTTTGTTTTCTGAGACAGTGTCTCACTTTGTAGCTATGTTGGCCTGAAACTCACTACACAGCTCAGGCTTGCTTTGAACTCACTACACAGCCAAGACTTGCTTTGAACTCACTAGCTTCTTGCCTTAGGGATTATGCACTGGAACTACAGACATGAGCTATCATATTACTTAGGTTCTTAAAAAATTAACTATATTTTATGTGTACATGTATTTTGTCTGCATGTATGTCTGCAAAGCACATGTATGTCTGCCCAGCACATGTGTGCACACCTGGTGCCCACAGAGGTCAAAATAGGCCTGGCACTGGAGTTAGAGACGGTTGTGAGCCTCCATGTTGAACATGGGTCCTCTGGGGATGCGACGGGTACTGTTAACTGCTGGGCCATCTTTTCGGCCCATTACTAAGTTTTTTTTTTTTTTTTTTTTTTTTGGTTTTTCGAGACAGGGTTTCTCTGTAGCTTTGTGCCTTTCCTGGAACTCGCTTTGGAGACCAGGCTGGCCTCGAACTCACAGAGATCCGCCTGGCTCTGCCTCCCGAGTGCTGGGATTAAAGGCGTGCGCCATTACTAAGTTTTTATAATAACTGTGATAACCACTGGACAAAATGGCTTTTTTATCATGGATGCCCAACTCCTAACACGTCACATGTTTATTACACCAACAACCCAGAGAGGCCAAGTCTGGCAAGAAGCTCACATGGCAAACTGTATGCTACAAGCCTTGGAGCCACCACAGAAGGGCCACCGGACAGGTTACAGCCAGAACCCTCTGCTCCAGGCCATCAGACAGAGCAAGCAGCAGCCTCTGGCAGCATCCCTCATCCTGGTCTGTCTCTATGGTAGGGACATTTATTTCCACATACAAATGTGCACACTCTCTACTGCAGGCATGGGCACGTCCACATAGGAGGATACAGTTCTCCAAACCCGGCACAGCTTCCATCCCATCCTGCACCTCTGCCCCCCGCCCCCCATCCCTGACAGCCTGATTCTAGTCACCGTCCTGGGAGCCAAGGAACGAACCTGGATGGCCACCTCTGGACTAAAGTCCAGATGCTGGCCCCTTCACCAGCTGAAGACGCAGGACCTGATACTGTTCCTGGCTCCACAGAGTCTCCTGCTCCCAAAGGGGAACCTGAGCCCTACACACCTGGAGCGGCTTATGCAGAAACTTTAATTACTGCCAGAAGTCTTGGCTGAAGGCCTGGGAGGCTCAGGTGTCCACAGAGGGACTCTATAGACATCAGGTACATCTATTCTGCATGCTGGAGTCTCTGTCCCCAACAGACTATTCTGGAGACGGCTATCCATTGAGTTAAATTGGTCTGCATCTGTTCTGATTTCGATCCTCCATCTGTAAATGGATGCAGTTATTTCAACAAACAGCTCATCCCTTTAAAGGCGAATCCCTAAGCAGAGATGCTAAGACATTTCGACTAACTGGCAAAGGACTTACTGGACAGCAGTAGAGGCCCAGGCACCAGGCTGTAAGCCTGGCTCTACTGTGTCATACCCAGGGAGACCTTGGGCAACTGCACTTTTTGGTTCTGAGAGTTGTTCTCCCCTGGCCTCACGCATGCTTGGCAAGCACTCTACCATAGAACTGCATCCTTAGCCCTAGGCGCAGTTTCTTCATCCGTAAAATTCAGTCGCAACTAGATCTTGCTTTCGAATTCCTTCGGTTTCAAAGGCTTGATTCTGGGCGTCTCCCCACTGCTGTAAGAGACTTAACAAAACACTCAAACACCACTGGTAACAGAACGCCACCCTCAGAGCCAGCCTTGGGCCCTGTCCTGCGCCCCGCTCCTCACACAAGGAGTTTCCAGTCCCTCGACATCTGTGGCAGAGCCCAGATGGCCCAGGTCAAGTCCTAGGTAACAGGGACCAAAATTCACGGTCAATACAGCTGTGAGACCCACGTGCACTGGCCCTTTAACACTTCGCTCCGCGCCCACCCTGCCTGCGGCTCCCGAGGCAGGAAGGGACGCTGAGGGCACCCGGACGCGGCCAGAGGCCCAGGGCCTCTTCCTACGCTCCTTCCAAGCCCCAGTTCGGGGCCGGCCGCACTGCCGCCTCCCCGGCGCCTTTTCCTCGCCCCCGCGCCAGCCAAAGAGGCCGCGATCGCTGCCGGGGCCGCAGCCGGGAGCCCGGACTCGGGTACTCCGAGGGGGCCGCAGCCGCAGCGGTCAGGAAGAGTGCGCAAGAAGGGCCTCGCTGCATCCGGGCTCTCCATGCGGCTGACTACCCGCGATCAGTGACAGGTACCGGGCCACACGCACCCAGGCCCACCCTCGGCTCACCTGCTCCGCCGCGGCGCAGGGTAGAGTTTACGCCGCGGGCGGAGCGCCTCTCCAAGGCTAGCGCCGGCCCCGCCCACTACCCCATCCGCCCACGCCCCGGACACGCCCCCGACAGGGACCCGCCCACTGCTCTGGCTCCACCCCTGTCCCATCCCCTGGGCGGTGCCAGGCTCCCCGGTGCACTTGGCACTTCCCCCCGGTTTAAAGAGATACTCTGGGTGAAGAAGGTCCCGGCCTCCGCGGTGATTCGCCCTGGAGACCGCGACATCATACAGACATTGAAATCTGAAGTTGGGTAGTGCCTTTCCTTTCCTTAGGTGCCTAGCGGTGCCACGGGGACAGGGGGTGGGTATTTGCTTTGTAATTTCAGGGTCCCCGGCCGCCCCTCCCCTGGATTGCATGTACTTTAAAATGGAGTCTAAATAAGGTTCTAAAGTAATCTAACATCGTGAACATTCTCCTGATTGATTTTCTAGAGTGCTTCAGAGACTTGGGAGCTCTGGATGAATGTGGACCGGGAAAAAATCGCACTGAGACCTGGGCATCTGCCCCAGGGTGGGGGTTGTGATCGCAGGATCTGGGGGCTGTGGAGTGATTTGAAATTGTCAACAATTTATCATAGCTGTCAGTATCTCAGTAGTTTTGTTTCCCCTTGAATTACTGTGAAATTCACATAACATTAAATTGTCATTATAGGGCTGGGGAATGTAGCTCAACAGAGTGCTTGCTTAAGCACTCAGGATCATCAGTACCATGCATGCCTGTGTGTAATCCTGTCACTAGGAGTCCAAGGTCATCCTTAGCTACATAGCTAAGGGATACATTAGACCTTGCCTTAAATAAATAAATAAATAAATAAATAAATAAATAAATAAATAAATAAAACCAGGCAGAGGAGCACACAACTTTAATCCCAGCACCTTGGGAGGCAGAGGCAGGTGGATCTCTGAGGGTGGTCTACAGAGCAAGTTACAGGATAGATAGCCAGGGCTACACCGAGAAACCCTGTCTCTAAAAACAAAACAACAACAACAAAAAAAGTGGTCATTTTAATTCAAGGTATTTAGTGAATTCAGTGTGTGCAGAGCTGCCTTGTATGGTTGCAAAACAGTCCATCACTCAAAAAATAAAAGGCAGTTGTACACATTGAGAAGTTTCTTTCCAACCCCTCTCCCCGGCCCTGTTAGCCACCAACCTACTTCTGTCTCCATGGGCGGAAGTATTCTCGGTGTATTGAATTTTTTTTTTAAAACACAATTGAGAAAGCCAGTTCTACCTGGCAGACAGCATAGAATCATGGAACCCAGGTCTAAAGTCTTCCTCTTCTGCCTGTCTGTTACCGTTCCTAACCCTTTGTGGGCCTCAGTTTCCTCATCTGCGAAAGGACAGTGTGACAGCCCCCAGAGGAACTCAGAGAAATGAGGAGTCAGGGGCGTGCCGGACACTGAACAAATGGTCACTGTTTTCCTTCCTCTCCTTCTCTGCTTGAAGTTTGGGTTTCATTTTGTTCTGTTTGGCAGTGAAATGATAGACTACAGAACTCTTCACAAGTCTGCTGCCCCTCTCCCACCCTCCCGTCATCCGTCTCTAATCCAGCACAGGTGGCTCTCATCAGTAGCTGCAACAGTGCCATCTGGAAGTTGTGCCCAGAGGTTCTGGACCTGGGGCACGCTCACCACACTCGAGCCCAACTATGCTTTGATAGCGGCTGCTCCATTGAACAGGACTCACATCTGACACATAAAGGGCACTGTCTCAGTCTGTGCAGGCTGCTAGGATGATCCCCTAGAGACAGGCCACTTCTAATAATAGAAATAAATGTGTTTTCACTGTTCTGGCGGCTGGGCAGCCCAAGAGGAAGACCTTACCAGGCTTCCTGTCCGGCGAGGACTTGTGTTCTAGTTTATAGGTAGCACTTTATATAGTGTCCCCTGTGATATCTACCTGGCAGCATAGAATCAGGGAACCTAGGTCTGAAATCTCCTTCTTCTTTTATGGGGACATCATCTCGTCCATGAGACCTGTGTTCCTATGACCTGATCACCGCCCAAAGGCTCCACCTCTTAATCCGTCAGCTTGGGGGTTCCAATTTCAGCACAGCAACTTTGAGGGGACAAAGCCACTCAGACTACACAGCAGATGCAGAACGTAAGCAATAAAACAACAAGGCCCAAAGCCCGGGCAGTTATCTGCTATTGCGGTGCAGCTTCGCCAGGTCTGATCTGGGCTGTACATTTAGCATTTAACATCTTATGGTTCTGGGCAATGCTTTCCCTCCTGTTGGACTTTATGAAAGGTTTAGTTACATATTTATTTTTTAGTGGCGGGTACTTTAAAAATTAAGTATTTGTTTTCTTTAAAAAATGTTTAGACTTTGTAGAAAAAAAAACATAAAATACAAAAAAAAAAAGAAGAAAAGGCACATGTATCTTAAAGAGTCTTGTTAATTAAATCAAACCTAAGGCCAGTTCATGGTACGAATTCTCGAAAAAGCTACTTGCCTGTGGCCTTTCGGGCCCCTACTCAGACCTGAGCTACCCTCAGCCAGTTGTGGTGAAGCATGCTGGTTGGATTTGCTGAAGGAGGCAGAGGCAGGGGGATCCCGAGTTTGAGGCCAGCCTAGGAGGCTTGCTAAGGAGAAGCCTTGGCCGAGGCCCAGCCACAAACGGTGGCGGTGGGACCATGGAGGCAGTGGCTGCTGCTCCGAGTGGCTGGCTCCTTCTCATCATGTTGGTGACTGCGGTGATGCTGCTACCTGGGATGAAGGGTTTACCACTGCTTGTTCAGAGAAGAATTGCCAGGACCATCATGTTACCATAAAGCATCGGCAAAGGTCAGTTTGGAAAAGTTTGGCAAGACAAATGGTGGGGAGAAAATGCTGTGAAGATTTTCTCTTCTAGGGAAGAACATTTGTGGTTCCAAGAGACAGACATTTATCAGACTGTGATTGCTCCAAACCACAGAGGAGGCACAAAAAAAAGAAAAGAAAGAAAGAAAAAAAGAAAAAGAAAAAAAAGTCTTCGGGGAACCATGACCACACCTAACAGCTACTTGGAAATCTTCAAAAAGATGATGGGACCCCACAACGATGATCCCACAAGGACTATGGTAAAGCCATTAAGCTAATTAACATCCATGGAAAGATCGACTTTGGACTACAAACTATTCAGGACAATTTCGAGATGACCAGCTGAGATGATCCAGCCTGACAGACTACTTGAACAAGGACTTGAAACAAGCCCTGCACTTTTCCATTATGCAGAGACTGGACAAATGATACAGGACTTGACAATTAACCCAAAAATTTCTTTTCAGGATTCCCTAAAGATGTCTTCACCCCCAGAAATCAGGAAGTAATTTTAAGAAAACAATGCCCACATTCCCAAGAGGTGGGATGGGAGGTTTTTGGTCGTTTAATGAGTTACGGATATTGTCATTGTTTACAATGGTTGGTTACAAGTTGTTAATTGTTAATGGTCAGGAAAAAAGCTAAACATGGAGATTAGATTCAGAGGTTTTGTTTAAAAAAGAAAGAAAGAAAAAGAAAAAAGAGAATATAGATATGAGGTAGATCATTGACTCTACTCTGAGAAAAAAGATAAAGAAATAATAGGATAAATGGGTAGATCACTGAATCTACTCTAAAAAGAAAAAGGGGAAGATACAAAAATGACAAAAGGTAGATTATTGAATCTATTACGAAAAGAAAAAAGAGAGAATATGGATATGATAAGATAAAAGGGAGATTATGGAATCTACTTTTCAAAAGGAACTACTTGTTTTAAATAGGATAAGTAATGAAATTTTTTGTCTGATTTTATCAGATGTTACTGGACTGGACATTGTTAATATATATAATGGAGTTTTTTGTCTGAATCTGTCAAATGTTAACGGACTAGACATTGTTAATGTACTCTTGACTGTGTATATTGTATATACTTATTAGATATAATTTTTCTTGTATTAGTTATAAGCTTTTTTAAATTTTAGACAAAAAAGGGGAAATGTGGTGGTATTGTGCTCCCCAAAATATTGTGCATGCCAGTAAACTTATCTGGGGTCAGAGAAGAGAAGGGTAAGAAAGTTTTTAGTCTCAGCTCTCAGCTGCTGCTCTGACCTCTTGGGCTTTTAACTCTTCATTTGGCTCTGTGTTTCTTATTTAATAAGACCGTTCCATCTACACTTGAGCCTACAGTGAGACAGAACATGGTGGCCAAGGCATGTGACAGGGGAAACCTGTGCCAGTCATGGTGGCCTGGCGGCAAAGAGAGGGAGGGGTGGACATTCCAGTGTCTCCCTCCGAAGCATGGCCTCAGGGACCAAACTTCCTGTCGTGAGACCTCACTTCTACTCAGAACGCTTTGACACCAAATGTGTGTGTGTGTGTGTGTGTGTGGGGGGGGTTCCACGCTAACAGCCAATTATCTGACCATTTAGACACCAACACTTGTGACATTCTACACTTGAATTCGATTCTCACGCTAGCTCCCTGGAGTAAGGGCGGACCCCACAAATTTAGGGCTTGATCCCCTGAGACCTACCCACGCCTTCAGAGACAATTTCAAGTCTCTGATATTTTCACCTCTTGGGTACAAATTAGGGGTTCCCCTGGCCTCTTAGGGTTTAAAAACTGATAGTAACAGCTCGTGGGACACAGAGGAAACACTACATTGCTTCTTGGCTTAATACAAAGAGGATGATAACAAGGGACAGAGAGGAACAACCCGGTGAGGGTGGGCAGAGAGCTAGGCCTGCCATGGTCCTGAGCCCAAGTGCCTCTGTCCCTGTGCCATCCTCCTGACACATGCATGCATTCACCAGCCTGGAAGCTCTCTGGATTGAGCAGTTTAAGGATTTTTTTTCTCCTAGTGTTAAGGATTGACTGGCCTCTTTGTGTCCTACCCAGGCACTAGTGTAGGGCTTCTGGAGGCAGATTAGGTTTTCATGGAGGCTTCATCCCATAGGCCTCATTGACTAACCCCATCTCCGGCTCCTTCCTCTCTCTAGATGGGCCAGGGCTGAAAATCCTAACTCCTAACCATGATGCAATCAGACTGCAGCATCTCTCCGCTTCTGCTTCAAGTTACTCCCTCAGTTCCTGCCCTGATTTCCCTCGACGATGGACCCTTTCTTTCCCTGAGTTGCTTTTCTTCAGGGTGTTTGATCACGTCAACAGAAAGGAAACTGAACCCCTCATTTATACAAAACCAAGATCTCACCAGTGTGAAGGATGCAGATAATCAAGATACACAGGCAGCGTCAGGGAAGGTCTGGAACAGCAGCACGGCTCCCAGCTCTGCCTCCCCATATTAGACATCTGTTCTCCAGCACAAAGGAAGAAGATAGGAAGTAGCTAATGAGCGTTGCCGGTTACCTCACACAGTGAGGAGTATTTTGGTTGCAAAGCATCTCTACATGACACACTGAGAGTTGCATCGCCAATGCAATCATCTTTGGGCACAAATCTATAGACCCCAGGAGTGCTTATCACCAGCAATTCTAAGCCAGAGCCTTCATGCTGAAGGAATTCTGTCAATAAGGGCCTCTCCCCCACCTCTGCCAATATCCAGCAACCGTAAGACTTGCAAGGGGTTGACTCTACTGTGCCGTAAGCCGTTGGCTTTTATTCTTTCTTTCCCCATTTTCCAAGGCAGCTAGTTCACTTTAATATAGCTTTGAGTCTAGAAGTTCAGGTAAAACTCTTACTATAACTAAGGGGCTTTACAGTCTCAACTGGAAGGCAGGGTTGTTTACGTCAGCCAGCTTCTCCCACAGACAACCATGATCAACTCTGGACAAAATATCTCAAAAACAAAAATTTTCAAACAGCTTACAGCAACCCCAAACAGGCGGAAACAGGAGAGTATCCGGCTCCAGAGGAAGGGAATTGAATTTTCAGGGTCTTCTTTGCAGTTCTTCCCAGGGAGCAGATTGTCTGTGACAGCTCGTGGGTGGGGGAACTAACACTCGTCACAGCCATGTTGGCCCTAGGTCCCACAGATGTAGCTGGAGGCTGCCAGAGTGTCCGGACAAATAGAGAGGCAGGGCTGAAATGAAGGTGGCCACAGAGGGAAGACACCTGCCTCAAGCATGCCCATAATTCTCCCTCACATCCATGGCCGTCCCCACATGTATCACTGTATGACAGACAGGGTAACGGTAAGAGAGAGGATTCATCGGGAAGCTACATAGCTGTACTATTGGTACGTGGATACGTGGATACGTGGACCAAACAGTGTCTGTGCATATGAAACAAAACTTTGCACTAAGGAAGGAAGTAGAAAAAGATACAACAGAAGTTAGAAAGTTTAGCAGTCCTCTCAGGAGTTTCTGAAAAACACACTCTCTCTCTCTCTCTTACTCTCTGTCTGTCTGTCTGTCTGTCTGTCTGTCTCTCTCTGTCTCTGTCTCTGTCTCTGTCTCTCTCTCTCTCTCTCTCTCTCTCTCTCTCACACACACACACACACACACACACACACACACACACACACACAGAGACATAGTTTGTTTTTTGGGTTTTTTTTATTTTTTTTTGGTTTTTAGGGTTTTTTTTTTTTTTTTTTTTTTTTTTTTTTTTTTTTTTTTTTTTTTTTTTTTTGGTTTTTCAAGACAGGGTTTCTCTGTATAGTTTTGGTGCCTGTCCTGGATCTCGCTCTGTAGACCAGGCTGGTCTTGAACTCACAGAAATCCACCTGGCTCTGCCTCCTGAATGCTGGGATTAAAGGTGTGCGCCACTGCCGCCCGGCTGACATAGATTTTTAATAGAGAAAATACCATGCATATGCATTGGAAAAATGTAAATCCTTTATAAATTCAGTTATATCCATTGTAGTCCCAATTGAAATTGTTGGTAGAAATTGCTAAGTTGATTACAAATTTTTAACAGGCCCTAGGTGTGATGGCACATACCTTTAGTCCCAGCCCATAGGAGGCAGAAGCCAATGAATCTGTAAGTTCAAGACCAGCCTGGTTTAGCTAGCTACTTTCAGGCCAGCTAGGGCTGCCTAGTGAGACCCTATCTCAAAAAACAAAATAAAATAAAATTTTAGCGAGAACGTGAAGCATCTCAAATGGTGAAAATAGTTATGCAATAACTGGAGGGCTCACAAGCTTGACTGAAAGATGTCCGGAAGGCTGTGGGAATCAAGGACAGGAAGTATAAGGCAAATAAGAGAATAGAGAAATCATAGAGAGATGGCTAGCTGCTTTTTGACAAAGAGGCTAGGGATATTTACTAAAGAAAAGGAAGTTGGTTTTTTTGGTTTTTGTTTTTTTAGATTTGATTGTCCTTTTTGTGTCTTAGTGTTTTGCCTGCAGTGCCTGTGGAGGCCAGAAGAGGGTGTCAGATCCCCTGGGAGTGGAGCTACAGGGAGCTGTGAGCCGCCACCAGGTTGCTGGTGCTGAGAACTGAACCCAGGTCCTCTGGAAGCGCAGCCACTGCTTGTAACCGCTGAGCCATCTCTGCAGCCCTAAGGAAGTCCTAACAAATGGTACTGAAATGATTGGATAAATGTATGAGGAAGATGAATCTTGTCCCCTATCTCATAAATCCAAATGTCAATGTTGACGCTATACCTAGAAAAAAAGTCCCATGGCCTTGTGTGCACACAGATGTGTGTATATGCGTGTGCACACATATACAAACAAAAAATGAAGATAAAACCTTTTCCATTGAGTATCCTTATGAGATATTGTTTGATATTGCCCTGAACCCCCAAAGCCTTTGTCCCACAGGAGTTCTTTTGCCCTTCTCTTCACCCCCCTCCCCCGTCCTTCTTCTTCTCCCCTCCTCCCCTCCAACCATGTGTGGCCTCCAAGCATGACATGTGCCTATATGTAACAAAGCCTTCCTTTCCGTCCGTCTGTCCGTCCGTGACTCTCCTCATCATTGGCGGGTTGCTCTCTGACCTAAGACTCTGATAGGAAAGGGATGCAAAAATATGAACGCATCTCAAAAGTATCAGAGTTAAAGGGCAATAGATCTTTAAAAACCAATATCTACAGACTGGGCATGGAGCATGTGCTTAGTTTATGCAAGGCCCAGGGTTTGATCCTCAGCACAAATAACTCAACAACCCCATTTACATGACGTTTGACATTAGACACAATCATGTGAAAGACCTGGAGATAGCGATCCTTGGAGAGATTGACTGCAAGGGATCCCCAAGGGTGATAGAATTGTGGTATGTCTTGTCAAGGTATAGGATACATGGTCATATATACCCATGCAAATTCACTGCACTATGTACCTAAAGTCTGTGTGTTTTGCTGCATATAAAATGTAATATATATTTATATACATATATTTATATATAATTTATATACATATTTTATATAATGTATAATTTATAGATAGTTTTAAATTGCTGCTTAAAATGAACACAGAAAACAAAATAAAATACACATTCCTTGGCCCCTCCCCATTGTAAATATGTGGTATCTTAAACTGACCAATAAAAATTCTAAGTGTTTATTTAATCTTTTATTTGTTTATCTTTTGTTTAGCCCCCGTGCAATCTAAGATGAAAGAATCTTTGTCAATCTGGAAATCTTGGAAATGTTATTCCATTCATTTATTTATTTATTTATTTATTTATTTTCCGAGACAGGGTTTCTCTGTGTAGTTTTGGTGCCTGTCCTGGATCTCACTCTGTAGACCAGGCTGGCCTCGAACTCACAGAGATCCACCTGGCTCTGCCTCCTGAGTGCTGGGATTAAAGATGTGTGCCACCGCCTGGCTTCATTTATTTTCTTTACGTGTGTGTGTTTCTTGTCTTTCTCTCTAATCCATCCAGAATGCTCTTGCAGGGGAAAACATCTGCTTTCAATGACACACACACACACACACACACACACACACACACACACACACACACACACACACACACTTTCTGTTTTCTTTCAGTTCCCTCTGGGCCCCTTGCTCCTGGGTGCCTGCTTCCTCAGGCCAAGGGAAGAACTGACAGCAAAGTGCCAGGCAGCCCTGGAGGGTGTCCCGGGGCATTTACCTCTCCCTGCACATCATTTCTTTCTCTAAGCAGCCTCAATATGATGCATACAAGTTGAAATGGGCTTGTCTCCCGATTCATTATTAAAACAAATTATAGTCCTTGCAATGTTTGAAAGAAGGCAAAACAGATAATGCCGGGAAAGAATGGGAATGTGCCTTCACAGGAACGCACAGCCACCTCGAGATGCCTGTGTGAAACGTATGTTGGATTGTAGGAGCCTTGGAGGAGATGATTAGTGAGTGAGTGAGTGATTTTAGTTAGCACTTGAAATGAAGGCTTGTGGGTAATTGGAAATCTACGCAGCAGGAGTTGCCAGAGTCTGACTAGGTTTATCTAAGTGATAGGATTTGGGTACCCATGCTTTATCCTCGAGCTAAACAACTCATCCTGGCACAAGGTGAGGTATCACACAGACTGATTTCAGAATAACCTGGGATATATGAATGCTACAAAATGTGAGATAAAACTCATAAAACAAGCAGACTATCACATCCTCCATTTAACCACTAGGGGGATGGTGTCCATTCTTCTGCTAAAATTGCCCTGTGAACTCAACATATGACCCCCATGAGGAGAAATTAGTTTCATTTTCCTACCTCATAATAGTTGGTTCTGAGTAACTTTTGGCCAAAAATACAATCTGTCCCAGAAAGGACAAAGATTTGTCACCTGTGAGGACATTAAAGAGGACATGCTTCGGATTCTTGGGACATTTTACCAGTAGACGTGTAGATGTAGGTCGGTGAGTTGGTATTGACAAAGGTTCTTTGCTTAGCCTAACTTAGCTAAGACTCATGAATCTTCTGGATCCGTCTATACACTACTTCCTTGTAAAGCCTGCCTTTAGCAAAGAATTGTCCAAGCCAGTTTAGCAAGAACACCCCAGGGCTGAAGGGACAAGACAGAAAGTGGTCCTGACTCCCCATTCCCAGGACTAAGAACAGGAGCTGAGAGGGGAGACCAATTGGACGCAGTGGGCTATAAAATTAGAAGAGAAAATGAAGTTAGGAGAGGGGTGCAGCTGGGCGAGAAGAGCAGGAGTTAGGGGGGGATTGAGGAGTGGACCTGATCAAAATATGTTGTACACGTGTATAAAATTATCAAAAATAAATAAAAATGTTAATGAGATAGGTGGATGGATGGATGGATGGATGGATGGATGGATGGGTGGATGGTTGGGTGGGTGGATGGATGGATGGTTGGGTGGATGGATGGTTGGGTGGATGGATGAATGGGTGGGTGGGTGGATGGATGGGTGGATGGATGGGTGGATGGATGGTTGGGTGGATGGATGGATGGGTGGATGGATGGGTGGGTGGGTGGATGGATGGATGGTTGGGTAGATGGATGGATGGTTGGGTGGATGGATGAATGGGTGGGTGGGTGGATGGATGAATGGGTGGGTGGGTGGATGGATGGATGGTTGGGTGGATGGATGAATGGGTGGGTGGGTGGATGGATGGATGGTTGGGTGGATGGATGGATGGGTGGATGGATGGGTGGGTGGATTGTTGGGTGGGTAGGTAGATAGGCAGGCAGAATGAACAGTAGCTGAGATCTGCCTGGATACCAGACACAGCTGAGTTCCTTCCATCTTCACACATTCATGCATGTCCTTCCATCCTGGATTTGCCCCTCCGAGGTACCAGAATGTTCCTTTCCAATCTAAAGTCCTAAAAGGTTTTCTAGCCTCTGATTTTTTGTTTTGTTTTGTTTTGACACAGGGTTTCTCTGTGTAACAGCCCTGGCTGTCCTGGAACTCACAGTATAGACCAGGCTGTCCTCGAACTCACAGAGATCTACCTGCTTCTGCCTCCAGGGTGCTGGGATTAAAGGCATGCACCACCATGCTGGACTTAAAACTGCTTCTGAATAGCCTCTGGGTTTTGTTTTGTTTTTTAACTCATGCCTGCCACACATTTTCTGACTTCGCCTGAAAATCACTCTCAATTGCGCTTTTATTTTTTTGTTTTTTTGAAATTCAAATGATCTCTTTGGTTTACATAAAACACTTTAAAATATAAAGAAATACTGCTGTAACTTCATTTGTGGTATTTCTAAGTGTGCAGTTGTCTCTGGTCCCTAACTTACAATCCAATTCTGACCCGCTTTTCCTCTATTTGTTTATTTATGACTCTACTCTAAACAACATTCATTCTTTCCATTCTCTCTCTCTCTCTCCAACTTCCATTTCCCAAATTCCCAATTGCTTTAATTTCAGGTGTGTACCACCATACCTGGCTATTTTATTTATTTTTAATTGTAGCAAAACACACACAAAATAAGATTTATATTTAGCCACTTTTAGGCAATCTCCATGGCTGCCAGAGCATTCACGGTGTGACATTATCACCACTATCCCCTTCAAGAACTTTTTAAAGTAATAAAGATTTTAGGACACTTTCAGCTCACAGAAAAATTGAACAGAAAATACAGAGAGTTTCTTAAATTCCCCGTGCTTGGGGCTAGAGAGATGGCTCACGATTAAGAGCCGTTCATCTACCTATCTATTCATATCAATAATGTTTGTATTTATTTTTTGATAATTTTATACACATAAAGAATGTATTTTGACCAGGTCCACTCCCACCCCACCCTAACTCCTGCCTCCTCCTTGCCAAACAGCATCCCCCCTCCTAACTTCATTTGCTTTTCTAATTTAATAACCCACTGTTCTTCCAGAGGACACAGGTTCAATTCCCAGCACCCATGGGTGAAACAGCATCATGTGGATATCCATGAGCCATGAACGGTACTGGGCCCTATGCACAGTACATTTTTCCCGTGTGCTGTACAGCACTGGCACGTGGCATCAGAGATAACCTGTCCTTGAGTGTCTAAACACTGGTGCTTTCTTTATATCATGGCTGTCGGGCTTTGAGGTCATTGGTCCATCCAACAAGCTCCCTGGAGCACAAACACAGTGGCCTGGGCCAGCTGATCTGGTAAAACTGAGAAGGCTGCTGAGCAGGGAAGGGTAAGGTATACAGCGTGGATACGCAGGTGAACGGGATGGAATATCTGGGCTGTGCAGAGTGGACAGGGCAAGATTTTGTCAGGTTACTCCGAATGGGGAAATCATTTGAAACATAAACGTATTTCTGGCATTTTCCATGTGATTCTTTTTTTTTTTTTTTTGTGAGTCACAGTTGACTTTTGGGTAATTGAAATTCTGGAAAGTGAAACTAGGTAAGGAACTGTCTGAAGTCCCTTCTTTTCTACCAGACCCTGGCCACCACCATTCCACTCTCTACATGATCTCAGTGATTACACGTTATATATGTTGAGTATATTGCATATGTTGAGTCCTGCAGTATATGTTCCTTGGGGTTGCTACATGTAGTGTGGGTCAGAACTTTGTCATTTTTTAAGTTGAGTAGTCTTCCATCGTGCGAGTCCGCCGGAACTCTTTATCCTAGTCACCCACTGACAGACAGTTGAGTCTGCCGTGCCTCAGCTATTGTAAACAACGCTGCTGTGCGTGTGCCCGAGCAAATCCCCGAGACCCTGCTTTCAGCAAATGTGGCTCTCTTCCCAGACATGGTATCGCTGCACCTGACAGCAACACTATTTTTAATTTTCTGAGGAACAGCCATCCTGCCCTCCCCCACGCAGCTGCAGCATTCCACATTGCCACCAACAGTGGACTGGGTTCCAGTTCCTCCAATCTCCCCAGCCCTGGGTTTCTTTCTTTCTTAATAATGGCCATCTTAGCTGGGCGGTGGTGGCGCACGCCTTTAATCCCAGCACTCGGGAGGCAGAGGCAGGCGGATCTCTGTGAGTTCGAGGCCAGCCTGGGCTACCAAGTGAGTCCCAGGAAAGGAGCAAAGCTACACAGAGAAACCCTGTCTCGAAAAACCAAAAAAAAAAAAAAAAAAAAAAATAATGGCCATCTTAATGAATGTGAGGGGTCATTTTCACTTCTTAAACTTTAATTAAAATCCCGGTGTCCCTTTCAAATGCTAAGTAGGCCCTCCATTCATTTCTACAATTCCCTCCCCAGTGTGTATGCCACGGGGAGTACATTTTCTCTCTGATTCAAGCTTAACGGCTTAGCTAGCAGAAGTATGGGCTCCCCGCGTGAATGGGTGAATGGTTCACATAAATTCCTCGGCTTGTGAGGGGGTCTGTCCTTTACTTCTCCGGAACAGCTATCCTACCTAAAGCTGTGTGAGCGCCCCACCCCCAGAGAATAGCCTTGAGGACCTGGGTGGGAGTCTCACAGTATGTCTACAGGTCGTATGGTACATGAGTATGAACAGAGCGCTGGAGGTCTTAACCTCTCTGAGAAATGATGACGTCTGTGAACGCCAGAAGGTGATTTTTGTGAAAATATACACCTTATGTCACACAGTAGCAACACATCCTAAAATCACTGATGTTAATGAGGCACATGTAGCACATATTTTCTTCCTGGTCCTAGGCCGGGGTCTTTAGGAGGTGGCGCTCCAGGATGCTTGGGAGACTGTCAC